GCACCCTTGCAGCCGTGGGACCGCCAGACCGACAGCCCCCTTGTACCAGGGCAGCTGCCGTCGGGGAGACCAGCCCACGTCCCTCCCGATGGACCCCAGGGCCGAGCTGAGGCTGCCCACAGACCCGCCTCGCCTGTCCCCCGGCGTCCAGTGAATGACCCCTCCACACCGTCTCCTGCCGCCCTTCAGACCCTTGGTGCTCCCAGAGCAGGCAGGCTGCAGGAGGACTCCCCTTCCGGGTGTCCAGGTCGGGGTCACTGAGCCTTCTCCTTCTGACAATGGTTGAAGCCCAACCATCTGCAAATACTCCTTAGATGTTGCCCCCCACCCCAGGCAGGAGACCCCCTGGTTGCCCCTCTACAGGCGAGGGCAGGGCTGGGGTGCATGTTCACTGCGGACCAGGAGGAGCAAGCCCCCGTGGGGCCAGCTCTGCTCTGCAGCCCGTGACGCCATCCCTCCCCACTTTTCCTCTGGGCTCCAAACATCCCTTTCATGTCATGCTGTCCACTCTGTCCTGGAGGTGTCCACACAGTCCTGCTCTGTGTCAGCCCGCGCTCCCCCTCCTGGCCAGTTCTCCCGCACACACTCCTGCTCACCTGCAGCGCCCTGCCCCTATGTGATGCCCCCCAGCGTCTCTGTTCCCCTCCCGTTGGCCAAACTGCTTATAGCCCTGCTGCCTGGCCCTGCTCTCCTTCCTGACCCTGGCTCTGTACTGTTAGCACAGGGGAGAGGAAGTGGGCTGGACCATCTGGACCAGGACCCCAGGTCAGGGGCCTGAGCTCCGGCCCTTGCCCTCAGTCTTGAGCACGACCCTCCCCTGGAGGCCCGGGGCCCTGCAGGCCGTACTGAGGCCTGAATGAGCGAGCGCCTGCAAAGTCATGCAGCCCAGCCCTGAGGGCAGCTCTGTGGTCAGGTTGCTGGGCCGCCACCGCCACCATGAGCACCCAGGGCAGGGCCACAGGCCATGTCTCCTCCTTCTCCTGGCTGGAGGCTGGTCCCTGGAACTGGTGGGGAACTCAGCAGTTCTTCTGTCCATCGAGTTTGCTGTTAGATGATGACTAGCAGGACCCTGCTGACCCGCCTGGGTGGGGGCCCCTCCCTAAGCTGTGGGCTAAGGAGACATGGGTGGCCCTGGGCAGAGCTTTCTCTGTGATGCAGTGCTGTCCTCCAGGTCAAGCTAAGTGTGGACAGAGGAAGGGGGAGCCACCTGGGCTGGGGAGGCAGGGGCTGCCTGGCACGGGCCAGAGGGTCTGGGGGGGAGCTGGGCTTCCTAGACCAGAGGCCAGAGGCAGGGCATTGTGGGTGGGCAGCTGGTACGGGTGGGAACAGGGTCTGAACCCGGGCAGAATCCAAGAGCCTGGGGAGCAGAGTCAGGGGCCCACTCTGTGGGGCAGAGGACCGGTGCAGCCCAGATGGGGACCGCTGTGGGAAGAGAGCCCAGACCTGGTCTTGCCAAAGCTGGGGCTCCACGGAAAATTCTCCTAAAATAATCCTGCAAGATAACAGCAGCTCCTACAAGTTACCCTCCTAACCACACCTTCTCAGTGTCACACCACCCCAGAGCTGGTGACTTCCTGGGTCCTCCTCGTTCTGCAGATCCACAGGACCAAAGACCAGCTGGCCAGCGAGACCCTCCAGGACCCACGGTTACAGGACCACTAGCTCATGGCTCTGGCTAGCTCCTCCTGCTGGTGGGCTGCTGGGCTGCTGGTTTTGAGAAACCTGTGATGTTCCATACCTGAGGACATGCACAACCTAGAATACACAAACACACACATGCAGATGTATAGTGCATGAGCATTGTCACATGCGTGTGCACACGTTTACATTAGTGCAAGTCCACACATCTGCACATGCAGGCACAGGTGCCTACACAAACCTACCCCACGTGTGTGTGTGCAGAGTGCCTGCGTGCACACCCATGTAGACGTGCTCTGTAATATTGATTAAGAGCAGAGGTCACACTCAGTCCTTACCCAACACGCTGTCACCATTCACTCAGAAATGCAGAATGAAGAGGAACGGCGGTGACAACTGCTAGGAAGTGTTTTAAGAGGAACTGGGAGCATTAGTGATAACTACTGTGATTATGCCTCAGCGTTTATCTGCCATGTCTGAAAGGCCCCAGATTATCGCATGTTCAAAAGAACATGCTATTGCAACAGGGTAACTGCTAATTGTCATCGATGGTTTTCTTCCAAAGAAGTGGGTGCATCTTCCAGGCAGAAGCCTGTGCAGGTCTGGCATTGATTTTCACCAGATTTTGTTATTACATTTGTCTCACAGCTTTAAAATAGTAGCAAATATGTGCAATTTATTTAAACAACACTAGGGAAATTAACGGCACGCCAGCTCCTCCGTAGCAAATGGAGGCAGAGCAGGTGGAGGCCAGCTGTGTCAGAACCTGTGCGAGGCGGGGTCTGGGTGCGGTCCCGGCAGCCCTGCTGGGGTGGAAGCATCTCCTGCAGAGCCTGGCTGTCTCTGCCCCACGCTGGGGGGGGAGGGCCCCAGCTGCAGACCCTCCTCCCAGGGGTGGTGCATCAGGCCAGGCCCCTCCCCTCGCCCCAGGGCAGAGTCGCACTTGGCCAGTCTGTCCTCCATATGGGCTGCAGAACAGAAGTGGCCCATCCCTTCTCCTGAGGCAGGTACCTGGGGACAGGTGAGCCTCGTTCCTGTGGGCCGGGGACCTGGGCAGGGCGCATCTGCAGAGCTCCGTCAGTCACCCTGCGGCCCAGAGAGTGCCAGCTGCTGCCCCCCGCAGCCAAGAAGGCATGCTCCTGACGAGCACCTGGTGCCAGCCACTGACCCAGGACCGCCTGAGAGATGAGAGTCTCCCAGCCCCTCGGTTTAAAGGGGGCCCCGAGGGCAGGGGGCACCCTCGGCCCGCCCCCCCACCTCTTGGCAGGAATATCCATTTCTGCCCTGCCCACTGCACACCTCCCGTGAGGACAGGCCAAGTGATGCTGGTCCACGGACAGCCAGGCCCTGGAAGGGGGCACCTGGCCGGTGCTCTGTCCTTGGGGTTGGTCGGGCCCTCCTCTGCTTGGGTGCTGTGTGGCCTCTCCAAGGTCCCCCTGCTTCTTCCCTAGCAGAGTGGAGGGATGAGCCTCCCACTGAAGTGCTGATAGGAGGATTCTGGGGGAGAGTGCAAGGAACAGTGTTTGGCCAGAGCCTGGAACCTAAGTGTCAGAACAAGGCTCCAGTTTATCTGACATTAAACAACGTCACACTTCCCTCATTCTGACAAGGGACGGGGGAGCCAGGGGACACTGGGTTTTTAATAGCTGAAGACTCTTGAATGCAGGCCCGATGGGAGGAAGGCCCAGGGGCCCCTGGTGCCCTCGTCCAGGTGGACTGTGGCACTGGTGGTGAGCAGGGCGGGTGCCAGGATGGTTCTGCACCAGGCAGGCAGCCGCTCTGTGTGCCAGCCTTATTTCCACGCCGTCTTTTAGCACAAGGCAGGGGCAGCCCACAGAACCATGCTGAGCACAACAGGTGTCCTTGCCTGGGTCCTGGGCTCCGCAGAGGGCCCTTGGCTGGAGGGCAGCCTCGGTCAGGTGCCCCAGCCAGCATGGCCCTCTGTCTTGGGCTGTGCTGACCGGACGCTGCCTCCTCTGGCTCCTGGAGACTCAGACTAAGGTGAGCATGGACCCGGGCAGGGCCGAGCTTGCTGTGAGGAGACTAGGACACAAATGTGTCACCCGCGCACCGTGTGGGTGCCTGCTGCCCTGGGACGTCGTGTGAGCTCTGACATCCAGGGAGCCTGCAAGTAGAGGGGCAAAGCAACAGCACAGAACGAGACCCCAGAGTGGCATGCAGTGTCAGTAGCGTCCCAGATGTGGCTGTACTGAGGGCTTGCCCAGGCATTCAGGGTTTTCCTGGTGATTTTACTACCGTGAACACATCTCCCTGGACACCCTCGTCCACCCAGGCTCTCAGGACGCATTTCCAGCTGCGGAGCTGCTGTCCCCAGGCAGGGCTGCTGAGGCTCTGGTTGGCTGCTGGCACCCTGGTGGGGAAGGCTGTGCTGGTCGCAGGGCCCAGCAGCTCTGGGAGCCGCGGTGGCAGCACACGCAGGCTCACACAGGTGACGGCCACATTCCTCATCGTCATCTGACCCAGAGCTCTCGCCACCATGCCCAGTTCAGAGAGAGGAGGTGGGTGTGGAGAACCCAGGGACTCGCTCTAGTGATGCCCAGGAACATTAGGCTCTCATCTGCTGAACCCAAACCCCACACCCCTGCCATCGCCCCCACTCACAGCCTGAGTCACAACGGGCTCCCCGTGTTGGGCGTTACTTCTGCTTGGTCTTGTCAGTTGGACAGGTGGACAGGACACACCACTCTAAATTGCATTTTTTATTGCTGGAAGATGTGGACATTTTCACAAGTTTATTAGCCATTAATATTTATTTTGCTATCTTTTTATGTCCTTTTCCTGTTATGAAAAAATACTTTGTTATTTCTTATTGATTTGTAAGAGCTCTTCCTATAGAGGCTATTAACACTCATCGAATTGGTTAGACACTATATTTTCCAAACTTATCATTTGCTTTGTGGGAATATTTTTATAAACAGGAGTTTAAAATTAAAATGTGTCGGTCTTCCATGCTTTCCCCCATTATTTGGGGTTTACAAAGCCCTTACTGAACTGGAATATATAGCTCCATGGTGGATCGTGGGCTTAGCAAGCATGAACTCCTGGGTTCAGTCACCAGCACCAAATCATAAATAAGTAACAGGAGCCCTTGTCCACCTGCTGGTGACATTGTTGGTGGCTGTGCCCCTCTTGAGCTGCCTCTCCCCCTCTAATCCTGTAACCCAGCCCCGAGTATCGATGAGGGTCTTGCCCGATGTCTTCCTGACTCTGCCCAGAGTTCCCAAAGTTCACCAGCTTTCCTCTACCAAGAGCGGCAGGTTCTCGTAACAGACATGCTTCTCCTTGGTGCAAAACTTAACCAGGCTCCCCTGACTCTTCTCTCCCTCCACTCAATGCTGCAGAGAGGAAAGAAGAAAGACGTGACCCTGGACCCCTCCCAGCCCCCAAGGGACATGCTGCTGCCCTGGCCTCCGCACCAGCGCTCCGGGGGACTGAGGCGGCAGAAGCGAGACTGGGTCATCCCCCCCATCAACGTGCCGGAGAACTCACGCGGGCCCTTCCCGCAGCAGCTCGTGAGGGTGAGTGGGGCCCTTCCTGCTCGGCAAGGGGGTCGTGGGGGGCCGCCGAGAGCCAGGCAGGCTCTGCCCACGGTGTCAGGAAGGCCGAGGCTGCCCTCGTCCCTGGAGGCCTGCGCGGTGCAGAGCAGAGGCCAGCAGGGAGGGAGGCGGGGCCCAGGGCAGGGGCCTTCTTGGTGGTGGCCGATGCTCTCTGGGTTACTTTTGAAGGCTGTCTCGTGTGGAAGCAGGTGGGGCAGGGACACGGAGCCAGCCTGTGACCTCTGACACACTGTGGTCCAGCCAGCCGCGCGTCTTTCCAAGCGGCCTGGTGGCACCTCTGTGCCGTGGTCCTGGCACAGAAAGCCAGCGTCTCGCATTGGGCAGGGTGCCACCTGCTGCTTGTGTGCCTCCAAGCCCCCAGCAGCCGCCGATGGGGGTCTGTGTTTCTATGGTCAAGACGGTCACCCATCGGCCAGCATTTTCTTCTTCCCCTGGAAGAAAATCACAACCCAGTCTGAGCTGTAATTTGATAAAATGATGGTGAGATTCTGTTCGATGATTCCAATCCTCGGTGGAAAGGCCTCGTCCCTCTCTTTGGAAATCAGCCCCCAGAGTGTGGAGAGGGGCGTCCTGTTCTTGGTGCTGATGAGTCGCTCTGTCCCTTGTCCCTCTGGATGCACAGGACTGGGCTGTGTTTAGGATGGAGAAGGGGCCGGGAAAAGGCTTACTAAAACAAGCAGCCAGGAACTTCAAATATCTCTTCTGAACATAAAGATTTAAAGAAAATGTAGTCAGAATGAATGAAGAGATGGGGAATAAACAGCAGAAAATGGAATATTTAAAAATATGACCAAATGGAAATGGCAGACCTGAAGAGTACGTCATTTCTAATGAAAACCTCACTGAGAAATAGGTCGTAGAAGGCAGAGGAAAGGGTCAGTGCATTTGCAGATAGATCAATAAGATTATCGCATTTGAAGAATGGCTGGTGGGAGGACAGAAACATACAGTTTCAGTGGGACAATGACAAGGGACCCAGAGAAAGACAAAAGGGATATTGAGAAAATTCATCAAAGAAATAAAGGTTGAATTTTCCCCAAATTTGGTAGAGAAACAAACATATAGATCCAAAAAACTTAATGAATCCGGACAGGATAAATCAAACAAAGCCGTTCCTTACGCTCAAACTGCTGAAATTCAGCAATAACGAGAAGCCTCCCGAGCAGAGGGGAGCAGTACCCACCGATGGCCGCACAGAGGACGATGGCAACCACGGGCCAATGGGATGACCAGAATTCCACACCCAGACAGAATGTCTTCCAAAAGGTGGAACGAAGAAAAGTCGTTCCTGATATGCAAACTGAGGGAACATGTCACCAGCACACCTACAGGAAGCGTGAAGGACGTTCTTCAGCTGAAAACCAGTGACATCAGCCCAGATTTCAGGCCCACAGGAAGGGACGGAGACACAGGAAGAGGCTCTCTGGGCCACTGGGAAGACAGTGACCTTCCCTTAATTTCTCACTAAGTGAAGCCGGAGGGTTGAAGCGTGGGGCTGTATGACTTGTGTAGATGACACATGACAGCAAGATGACAATCAGCCAGACAAAGACCAGGGGGCTGAAGCCTGCAGTGTGCATCTCCCTGTTTCTGATAACGGCTCGGTATCGGCTCTGGGGGCTCCAGACTTTTCTTGTTGGGATGCCTGGAATTAGAAGAATGTCCTACAGAGGTACAGGTTGGAGCGTTAGCTGAGTCCCCGCGGAGCAGAGTCTGCTGACCTCCCATCCCTGACGAGTGCGTTTTCTGGGGCCAGAGAGGCCATGGTGAGCAGGGCATAAAGGAGCGACTGTCCCTGGGAAGGAGCCAACATGTTCCCAGAATCCAGTCGCGTTGGCTTTTCTCCCCAATAAACAGATGGTGACAATGTGGCACCTTCCCTCTGTTCAGACGCGGTGACCATGACTGGATGGGGAGACTACCTAAGATTGACTGTGGGAGCCACCCCTGGGCCATCAGCTCAGCCCCAAGGAGAGGCCTGTGGAGAAGCCCGAATGCAGAAATAAGGTGGCCCTTGGCCCTGCCCGTCACCTGCAGGGGCTGCCTCTTCCCACCCCAGGTGGGGGCGGTACACCTGGGGCCTGGCCAGTGACGCCCAGTGGTTCCAGCGAAGCAGGTTGGGCTGTCCCCAGCTGCCCCAAGCCTCCCCGTGACCACACATCTCACTGTCCTACTGGGAGTTCATACCGTCCTGGCTAAAGCCCAAGGGACGTGGAGAAAGCGGTCGTCCAAGGACCTGGTGCCTGCTTCTGTGGTTTGATCAGTCATGGGAAGGGAACGTGCAGCCCTGTGTGCACCCTCCCCATCTGAGCAGGAAATGTCCCCCGGCTTGAATTGCTTTAATGGCTGTATTTATGCAGCTGAAAGTTTCTTAAGAAATGAAAGTAAAATCAAATTGCTGCAAATGCTCGGATAATTTATCAGAGAATATTCAATTAGAATACATTAATATTTTAGATCTCCATCATCAATTTAATATTTGGGGATTTAGTGCAGTCACTGACTGCAGTGCCCTGTGGCGGGTGTCCAGGGTGAGGGCTCCAGCAGGGGCACTCCAAGTCCAGCAGTGGCCATAAGGCCTCGTGTGGCTGGGCAGGACGCAGACCAGGGGTGGGCCAGGTACAGGGTAGTGGGGTCCAGGTGATTCAGGGTGCAGCACCCTGAGAGCCAGATGCAGTCAGTGGGGAGTCTTCTCGGGATGTTGGGGCAAGGTGGCCCATCCCTTGTTGTTCCGGGGTAGCCTTCACTCTAGAGCGGTGGCCCTCTTGGGGGACCATGAGTATGTCCTTGATGACACCAGGGGACAGCTGAGTCCTCACCTGCTGAGCCAGCTTGCCCTCTGGGAGGGGGCTGTGGAGGAAGCAGGTGGGCGGGGTGGAGGACCAGAGGACATGGGTGCCAGCACGCTCTCTCAGGTAGGTAACTGAGCCACCTCTGAGGAGGGAACCCAGGGCAGTGGCGGTAGAACTGTGCTGACTGGGGGCAGGAGACTCTAGAGAGGCTCAGGGTCCCGAGAAAGAGCCAGGAGGTCAGAGTGACAGACAGCCATGCCCAGGGAGAGGGTGAGAGAGATGAGCTCAGAGAGTCAGGGCCAGGTCACCGGGGCGGGTGGCTGTGGGAGGACTCAGCATTTTACTTTGAGACTCGAAGGGACCTGATGTGGCTATCAAGCACCGCCCCCATGCTGCTGCAAGTGAGTCAGATGGCAGTGACAAGAGTCACAGGAGGAGGCTAATGGGACGGGGTCCACAGGACCCCTGTCCAGAGACAGCAAGGATCAAGGGAAGAATATCTTGTTTAATTAAAATAAAGGCTGGAAACCCCCATAAATCCTTTTATTCTTTAAGTTTGTGTGGCAAAATTCAAGATCTGGGAGCCGACGCCCTGAGACTTGAAAGATCCTTGGGTCCTCCCTCCCTCTAAGGCTGTGGCTCCAAAGAGCAGGCCGTGGCCATCCACCCCATCCAGCCCCTTCTGCCCTGGAGGAGCCCAGCTGGGGCAAGGCAGGGGGCGTCCTCGGAACGGTAAGTCCACCTCACAGGAGGGGGCTCTGCTCCCAATGTGACCCAAACATGTGTGCGTCCAAGCTCCCCGGCTGTGGACTGCCTGTCCCTGCTGCTGGCCGACCAGGCTGATGGCTGTGATAACGGTGACGATAGCAGTGATGATGATGGAGGTACTGGTGATGGCAATGATGGGTGACGGGGAGACGGTGATGCTTTGATGTCAGTGATGGGGATGGTGGTTACTTACATGGTGATGGCAGTGGGTAGTGGCAGAGTGATGGTGGTGATGACAGTGGTGGTGATGGTGATGATGGGGGTGGGGATGGAGGATGGTGGTCATGGGGGTGGTGGTCATGGGGGTGGGGATAGGGATGGTGGTGATGGTGATGATGGGGGTGGGGATGGTGGTCATGGGGGTGGTGGTCATTGGGATGGTGGTGATATGGTGATAGTGGGGATGGTGGGGATGGTGGTCATGGGAATGATGATGAGGAGGAGGAGGGGGGGGATGATAATGATAATGGTGCTGGTGGTGAAGGTGATGGGGATGGTGGTGATGGGGATGGGGATGGTGGTCATGGTGATGGGGA